TTTTTTTTTTTTTTAAAAATATATCCCTTGCTCTGTTATGTTCATTGCACTACTGTGACTATTAGTTACAAGAATGATGGTGTATGGTTATTGGAAAAATGCAGCTACCCATTTTCTCCATTTGCTGTCTTGTCTGGACTTTAAAAACAAAATCTATATGGCTGATACACATATACTATGCCATTTGGTGCTTATCACTAACAATTATGCTGCATCTTTGATACTGGTCCCATCCAAACCCTCCTTCCAAAGGAATAAGTGTTGCATGTAAAATGTGCCTGACATGTTAAAAGCCCAATTACCATTCAGTACAAAACACACAAAAAACCCAGCACACCTGCCAGCTGGCCTGCAACAAAACAAATTACCCTGTCAACCGTATGCGTTAAAAGCAGAGGTTTTAGTTGCACAAACGTTTGGCCAAAAATATGTAGAAGCCACACTGCCACCGTCAAGGCACCTCTGCAAGGTGTGGTCCTAACTATTTATACGAGTATCCAAGTGGGAGCATATTGATGCAGTCGATAAATTGAATGCAGGTGTACCAGGAGGTGTGGGTATTGACCACCCAAAGTAATTCCACCTCTCCACATTGTAAATGGCTACATTAACCTCAGCTGGTCAACTATTGCTCAATCACTGCAATAAGAACTTTCAAGATCTTCTCCCCACTAAAGTGCAATTATATCAATTGGACTTGCTAGTAGAACATGCCTTTTGACTACATATTAATTAGGCATGTGGGTTTATGCTACCACCCTAAGCAAATGGGCAGATTCTCCCTCCCCTTCTCCCCTCGGATGAAAGCATTTTTGTCATGATATTTTAAGGAGAGTCCAGCAGCAACATGGAAAGGTACCTACCCTAGATCCACCCCATCTGGGAACCCGGTAGCTTCATAGACTGTCATTTGATGAAATAGTTGGTAATAATTAGGGATTATTGTAAAACATTGTTTTGGGTATTTAGACATGACACATATGGGACCTTCTTTTCTGTGGAGCATGAAATACAGTGATCAATGGGCAGCCATTTTCTATGTAGCCCTTTTTCTTATACTTTGGTTTTCTTCTTCTTAGGACTCTCCGCTTAAAGCGGTTCAGATGTTGTGGGTAAATCTTATTATGGACACATTTGCATCACTTGCTTTGGCAACTGAGCCTCCAACAGAATCTCTTTTATTGAGAAGACCTTATGGGAGAAATAAACCTCTCATATCGCGAACAATGATGAAAAATATTTTAGGTCACGCAGTCTACCAGTTAGTTGTGGTCTTTACACTGCTGTTTGTGGGTAAGTGTGTTTTATGTGAAGCACAATTGTTTTTTTCTTTTACACAACTTTGCCTTTTCATTCCCATACCAATAAAGATGTATTGGTGTTACTGATTTCCATTTAATACCAAGGGCCCATTCTGTATGTAAAAAATTTAATTTCTGGTAGCGTGCTGCAATGCATGTCTGTTGGCATGGTGTGTGATGGTGCCATTCAAAATGAATGGCACTTCATTGCACCAAGGCATGCAACGTGCAGGTTAACGCAACACCGTAGTGTAAATGGGTCCTAAAAGAAACTCCTGTTTATTAGACTGGAATACATGGTAACGGTTACGTTTATCAGTTCCTATCAGTTACATATATTCTTGCCCATATTGCTTCAAGCATCAATGATACAATGTCATGCATGATTTAACCATATAGTTTGGCTGCTGTATCATGTGTTTGTGTGACTCATGACATATGAGCAGGTGATAGGGGACAAAGGCAGTACTTAAGAAGATTTAATGGAAGTTAAATGAGATGATCTGTCAAACTACCCAACTTGGCAGACTGTGAGTGAGGATTGATAGTAAATGCTGGTGCCAGGAGGTCCATTGATGTTACACTAATGGGCCATTGAAGACAAATGCAGTCACTGTATACAGGGCCGGATTTATGCTGCACCAAGGCCTGGTTCTTCAATGTTTGAGAGGTTGCGTATATGATGCTAATGATTTAGATAAAGTGTGTGTCAACATCCTTTAGTAAATCGGCCTCAAAGTGTGTCAGTCAGTCATTGTTCCAAATGTTTGTTTCTTTTAGTCTAAAGTCCTTGCTTTGTCTAATTTCTGCCCTTTTAAAACAGGTGAGGTGTCAGTAGTAGTAGTAGTAGTAGTGATCTTACCTGGTTTGCTTCTTACCATGCTTGGCATACAAAACATCTATCATTCAGTGAGTAAAGAATGTTTACAAATTATAACCTGAAGCAGGCAGTTAGTTACTGCAGCAAGATTCTTGCAGCATAGCCAAGCAGTTAGTGGATGCAGGTTAGAGGCAATTTCAGCCCAGTTGGTCTGTTTATTGAAACATCAGAAGTTTCAGACTTTCTTTTTAGTTGGTAGAATCTTAACATGTTTAATGTCTTAGCCATCCATTGTCTGTAGTTATCGGATAAATAATTACAGCTAATATATGCTTATTTTGTGTGGCATATCAAGGCATTTAAAAGGTTTCTACAGTAAGCGGTCTACTGTTATCCAGCTACCTGGTAAAAAATCCATTGTGCCCTCAATTTTCTGCCGATCCTCTGCAACCTTGTAGGAGAGAGGGCTCTGCAGCATGAGAGGGTAGAGAACCTGGGCTGAAGAGTGCGATTGCCACTGGTAGTGTACAGATACAGTACCGTGTTATCCTGTGGGAAGCTGCGTCTGTGATCGAGAGCTGTGTGCGTGCGCCCCCTAGTGATCATTTCTAGTACTGTAGGCCCATGGAATACAGTACAGCAAACTGTAGATCTTCAGTCCCACTGTCAGGCAGCCCCAGTGCACACCGGCCATAAGTAAGCGCACACCTCTGTATGCTCTGTTTCCTCCAGTCAGCTGGAATCTACTATACAGTATGAGAGCACCTGTATTATATTGCACTAATACCAAGTGTGTATTTGTCTCTGCTTTTGATTACTGTATTTCAATATTAATATGAAGTCAATACAGAGTTTATGGTATAGTATGGGGTATGGCATTACCGTATTTGCCGGTGTATAAGACGGGGTTTGGAACCCAAAAAAATTGCCCGAAAATCGGGGGTCGTCTTATACGCCGGGTATACTGTATGTAGCTTCGGCTACATACAGTATACCGTGCTGAGCCAATCACGGCAGGCTATGTATTCTTTAATACAAAGCCTGTATTTACTGAATACAAAGCCTGCCGTGATTGGCTCAGCGCTGAGCTAATCACGGCAGGCTATGTATTAATGAATAATTACTTGAATTAGGCTCCAAGTTATTCTATCATTTGGTCAGCATTTTGTGCTCACCTTGTTTTTACAGCCTTAAACTGCTGCCAACATATAAATGCTCACTCTTGGCATTTTGAAACGTTCGACTTCTTTAAGAAACCTATCAAATGTTTTTTTTTCTGTATGGTGAACTATAGCACAATTTTTGTAGATTCCTTTAGGCTGGTGATTCGAAGTTCTCTTTTCAGAGACATTAATCTGAATAAATGTAATTTCTTTTTCACAGGCGAGAAACTTTTTGATATTGACAGTGGTAGAAACGCTCCCCTCCATGCGCCTCCATCACAGCATTATACCATTGTGTTCAACACATTTGTTATGATGCAGCTTTTCAATGAAATAAATGCCAGGAAGATTCACGGGGAAAGAAATGTGTTTGAAGGGATTTTTAACAATATGATCTTCTGCAGCATTGTATTAGGTACTTTTATAATACAGGTAAGCGAGCAATGGTTTTATCTTTTAATCAAATGGTTTTCTGGGTGTTTATGAACAATACATTTCTGTATATATTAAAACTGATTTTTTTCAAATCTACATGACAATTCTCATTTCATGTGGTGAGCCTCTATAAATTCTGATGCAAGAAACATTATTCAGTTGTACCAGAGGTTACTTGTTTTCCTAAATTCTCCTTCCCAACCTACTGTTTTATATGCCTACTAAGAGAAAATAGAGGTGACCATTAGAGGTGACCAGAAGATCTGTAATTATGTCCTTCAGAGATGAGCAAATCCATCATCCCAGGTAGCCAACATACCTATAAATATGCAGCTGATGACTTTTATCTGAGGTTTTTTTTTTGGTCAGTGGAAGTACTGAACCGTTTCCATGGCTATAAATTCAACTTAAAATTTACTACTCTTCTTTACTTTTTAATAAGATCAGAACTTGTATGAATGTGCCTTGCATTTGTTGCACTTCTAATGTCTGTTTTTGATAAGCAATGCATTTTGCATAATTTGTGCAAAGATTTGTATAAGTCATAGATATGAATGTAGTGACCACTATTTTTCTTATCCGTTTTGTAGATCATAATTGTTCAGTTTGGTGGAAAGCCGTTTAGCTGTACAGATCTGACAGTAGATCAGTGGCTTTGGTCGGTTTTCCTGGGTATGGGAACATTACTTTGGGGCCAGGTAAATCTTTCATTATGTTTTGAAGTTTTGCATAAAATGTTGGATCCAGACAAGGGCTTCCTGCCTCATAATAAGTTTTCTTCTAATACCAGTATGTGTTTCCCACAATGTTTTGTCCTCCGTATCGCCTTGATTACTAATTATTAGCGATTGACACTGAAGCATGCTTCATAGTTTATTGTTATTAACTGCTGCATTTATTCAGATGCATATTTTTCTTTGTCTGTATGTGAAGGCTTAGAACGCAAGATCTGGGAAGTCCTTTTCTTAATACTTTTAACATGTGAATTTAGGTAATGCTGATATTGCTAATAAGTTTGCAGTTTTCTTTTTTTTTACTTCAGACATATTTTTGCTTTCTTTAGCTGGTAACCTCAATACCAACAAGTCGTTTGAAGTTCCTAAAGGAAGCAGGTCATGGGACACAGAAGGATGACATTCCTGAAGAAGAGCTTGGTGAAGATGCGGAGGAGATTGATCATGCAGAGAGGGAGTTACGCCGTGGTCAGATCTTATGGTTTAGGGGCCTAAACAGAATTCAGACTCAGGTATGGTCTTGAATAAGGCAAGAATTTTGTATGGGTTAAGGGAAAATATTTAAAATTGTAGCTCATTTGTTACTGCTAACTAAGTTCAGGTGGCTGGTTCAGAATGGTGTGCGTGAGCTCTCTACCTTTTGTATTTTCCCTCAATACGCTTGAAAGAATCTTAGTTTTTCTTGATCTTCTTTTAAGCTTTCTTTTCAATTTGCTTTTATTAGCTACTCTATAAAAGTGCCTTTCTCTTTTTTTTTGCTTCTTTTATTTGTTGTAGATGGGATGGTCCTTTCTCTTGTTCTCTCTCTCTCTTGCTGAGCAAGCTGTCACAATCTCTGATTCCTTGCAGATGGATGTAGTGAATGCTTTCCAAAGTGGAAGTTCCATTCAGGGGGCTTTAAGGCGGCAACCCTCCATCGCCAGCCAGCATCATGATGTAACAAATATTTCTACCCCTACACATGTAGTGTTTTCCTCCTCTACCGCTTCTACTACTGTGGGGTGTGAGTGTGTGTTCCTAAGTGCATGAAATTAACACATCCTAATCCACACACCTAACCTTTCTCATTTTCTCCTCAGTTATGTCATTGTTCAGGCTGTTCATAAAGCTTTCCCTTCACAAGGATAATACACCCTGTGTGTTTATTTTTAGAGGGCTAATGGACTGGTTTGATTATTAGCAATTGCAAGCTTAAAGTCTGATATCCTGCACGTTTAATTTATAGATCTTGCTTCATCAGTTATTTGTTTTTTATTGATGTTCTTGTATATATGGAAGGTGCCAGTGTTGGTAAATTTTCGAGTATATGCCTAGTGTAGCGGATATTTGTTTTGGTTGTCTATATCTTTATATCCATGGCACACAGATTGCAATTTTATACACAGGTCTCCTTAAGGAATTACTTTTTTGTTGTTGAAATGTTTTGAACACACAACTAATTTAATTAGTTCCACTTCCTTAAATATGTTTTTCCTCTTTTAAGGAGAAGTGTTTGTGTTCTGTAGTGTTTAGCAGTTGGGCTTTCACTTGTCGTGGTGGTAGCTTGCTTTAAGGCAGTGTTTCCCATACATGTCCAAGTCTTGTCATCAATGCAGGGATTGCAAGTCATTTCACACATGCACAAGTGGTGTAATTAGTGTTATTTATCGAAATTGAAAGAAGGTACCAAAGCCTACCAACCCCCTGGGTCTGGAGACCACAGTCTTTGTAAATTACTCACACTTAATAGAGATCGGGAAAGAACAAGAAAAAATAACCATAAAACCATAATAAAAGTCAGACAACTCCTACTAAATCTGACTTCCCCCCTGCCCTATAGACTTAAAGCCATAAGACGCACTAGTACTAGGTCCTAAAGGTTGTCTGGTAAATCAGCACCTCCAAAATTAGTGTCTGCTTATAAATGATACAATCCAGTTTACCAAAGTTAATGTTCATAAAATCTCTGTTTTCATAGAGACTTGCCTAAAGCTATAAAAAACAAAATACTAGACATGAACTGTTGAGATTTGAAAGCAGCTTTTGGAAATACTGCTGTAAGGAAACTAACATCAGTCTCCTCCTAGAAAAAAAACAACAATTAATGATCATAATGCCATGTGGCATGCCAGAATATATTTTAATATTTTTTTATAACCATGGCTTGACATGCCCAATACCCAGGTAGTTGATGCACCTGAATATTGCAGCTCGGGGGGCCTACATTTTTTTTCAAGCCTTTCCTATAGGTGACAAGGGAAGCAACTATTTCCTGGCTCTTTAGCTGCCTGCTGTCTGCTAGATTTAAGTATGCAACATTTTGAGGAAAACTATCTTTGATGGCATTCGGACTTGACAGGCATTGGAGTCAGGCCCAAACACAGAATTTTGCATTGAGTTGATTTCTCTGATTCCGCCATCCAACTACCTCTGATTTCTAAGTGAGATATACATAACTCTTGCTTGTTTGTAGGTGACCAAATACTTATTTTCCACCATAATTTGCAAATAAATTTGTTCCAAATCAGCCAATGTGATTTTGTCTGGATTTGTTTTCTCATTTTGTCTCTCATAGTTGAGGTCTACCTATGATGCCAATTACAGGTCTCATCTTTTTAAGTGGGAGATTTTGCACAATTGGTGGCTGACTAAATACTTTTTTGCCCCACTGTATTTTAAGTGGTATGACAAGTCCTTGAATAGAGCCTTATTTTTAAAGTGTAAGCATTACCATGGTGTGCAGCATGCTTCAGACAAGGTTCATTTTCAGATATAGATGCATGTACTAATTATTGGACTTAAAGGGTAAGTATACCTTTTCACATAAATTGAAAAGGTAATCTAACTTACAACATCCTCCTTACCTCCTCGGTTCCTACTGCAATGATGACCCTTACTGGCTGACCATGCCCGCCTATATAACTTCACTACATGGCACAAGAGGCTGTATAATGACATAATGCTTGCAAAGGGGAGCAAATATTGGCTCAGTGCAGCCATGTATCTGAGCAAGCAAATTAGAATATCTTCAGAGCATTCCTCCTTCTGGAACACAATGCGATTCTCATGGGTCAGTATTTTCATGTGGCCATGGTGATCAATGGCTGTTGTCCATTGCATGTATTTTGTTGCTATACAGCTTCTGGGGCCGTTCTACTGGTTGGTGAGGTCCCTGGAGATACTTGGAGGTCCATTATTAAGCAATGAACCAAACAAATGCCAGGCAGGTTCTTTCAGCCTCTTCTTGGGTTGAAATGCATAAAAATACTATTTTCCAAACTAGTAATTGGGTGGTTTTCCAGATTAACAGGTCATTTTCCAGGTATGTTAATTGTTAGAACCAACTTAACCTAAATGCGATATTTTAGTGTTAAGTAGACTGCAAATGGTTTAGTCATCCGCTATCGTCTTGTACTGATTTAAGTGAAGTGACTTCTTTATAGTACCTACGGTAGTAGTACCACACTAGGCAGTTACACAAGTAGATATCACCCACTTGTATGTGGATTAATTTAGTTTATTATTGGTTATGAAAATTCAATTAAACACCTTTTGTAATGGTCTCAGGAGTCGGGAAAGACCATTAGTGTTCACATCAGCCCTATTGGGCAACATTGCCCAATGCATAGACGAGGCAATTTGCCTTACCGTATTTCAGTTCACACCAACGGGCTGCATGGGTGTGCCCTAAAAAAACAAGTAGGACGTGTTGCATTTTTACATTGTTGGTTGTGCTGTAATATATAGCAACATGCTGCTGGGCATGGACTGCAAACAACAAAAACCAGCAGGTGGCTGTAATGCCCTCAACTATGTTGTTGTGAATGCCCCCTTAGAATCCATGTGAGATCTGAAAAATCTCCATGTAATTCAGCATACCAGCAGCCACATAAAAGTGAAATATCAGCGTTTGCACTTATTTATCCAGCTGTTCTATGAAGATGACTGAAAAATTGTCTTAGTGGTTCCTGAGGACTAGAAGCGGGAGAACTGAGGTAAAACGGTTACATGCTGCAATGAGGCAAATGTTGATGGAAAGACATTTTAGTTGAGGTACAGTAATTAAGACATGAAGGTAAATATACATGAACCAAATGTGACCAAGTTCAGCTCAAAATCCTGCCTAGAGGAATTCTTTCAGAAATGTTATTTGTCCATATAGGGACCCAAATGACTGGTAAATGAGTACTGGCCTGTTTTTTGGCATGGTTCCTACTTGATATGTGGTAAAAACTTTTATTTTCTTCCTAGATGGTGGGGAAGGGTTTGAACCACTGTCATTTTTTTGTTTGTCCTCAATGAAATGATCCCAGTGACTAGTTCATAGAGATGGGCATTTTTCGTCTATGGGGACAAAGACTGCAACAACAACATTGTTAGTAGTGGGTAAAAGTTTGAACCCATGTGGTTCCTATTCCGGTTTTTAAAATCTTTCTCAAAGGGTAACACAACTTGTTGTGAAGACTTGTTTATAACCAGATTTCTTAATTTTGTTTTTTCCTTTTAATTCCTCATATGCTTCTTGATTAGTATCTGGATTATCTTGCATATCTAGGCATCTTCTTTAGTCTAAAGTAGAATGGATATAATTGGTTATGTTTTCATTAGAGGGTCAGTCAGTTTTGTAATGTTAGCTAGTGTAATCAGCCTCTAATTGTCTAATCTGGCAAAAAGAGGGGTTTTTTTGTTTTTTTTAAACCTTCTGTTCAGCACATACTGAACATTCTCATTCTGGGCATACCAGAGCATAAAATGAAACAGATTGCTTCTAATGAACCTTTTGGCAATAGGCAAGTGAGACTTTTACATTGCCAATCTATGTATACAGAGCACTATATATTTGAAGCTCCCAGGAGCAGAAAAAGCAACAAAACGTCATATTTTTCTATACTATGCAGAACACTACACAAAGTGTATAAATGCATATGAAAGGTGCTAGAGTCCAGCACCCTTACATATGCATTGATAGTTTTAAGTTGCTGAACCTGTTTCACGCTTGACAGAAGTAGGCCACTCTCACACATTGCACTTTGCAGAAAAATGGATATGAAATCTGTGTCGCTGCCATTTTTTTGTGTGGTACACTAGGCTTAGTGTAAAAAGCTAATAATACAAAACTGACTATTGTTTATAGTAGGCCTTAGCAGTGTCTAGTGGAAAAAACGGTTAGTGCTGCTCATGTTTTCTAAACAGTTTCCCACATACTGCTATGGTTTCTATGGGGAAAAAGAAAATATTTTCTTTTGAACACTTCAGATCATGTAGACTACTGTCACTTAGTGCTCATGAGTTATGCTTCTTTTTTTTTTTTGCTTTGGCTTCTAGTTATACAAATCATAAGCAGATTTACAATGATTTGGTATATACTCGAATATTTACACTTGTGAGGTATAATACACAGTTGTGTGCTTGTTTGCTTTACTGCATGACTTTCTGCAGCACCAAATTCATTGTGCTATTCAGCTTACATAATGCTTGGCTTCATAGTTGGTATCCTAATTCCTGGCATGAGAATTGGTTTACCTGTTGTGCCAATATTTTTTTTTTCCTTAATTTGTTTATAAAAAAACAGCTAAATATTTTTGAACACTTGTAAAATATTTTGGCACTAGATTTTTTTTTGTCCGTTACTAAATGCAGTATGAATGTAATAATTTTGTTTTCCACCACAAAAAACATCAGTGTTCTTTTTATTATATTGACTAAAATGTCTGTTTATTTTTACAGTGTGTTGCAAGTTCACTGCATTTTGCACAGTTTTGACTCATTGTTGTAGTATTGTGAATTCAAAATCACATACAAACCATATCCAGACCAATGTTTTCCTAACCTTGTTAAAATATTTTTCTTTTCTTTTTTTCTTTTCATTTGCTCTGTGACCTTGACAGATTCGAGTGGTGAATGCATTTCGTAGTTCTCTTTATGAAGGATTGGAAAAGCCTGAATCGCGAAGCTCAATCCACAATTTCATGACACACCCAGAGTTTAGAATAGAAGACTCTGAGCCTCATATTCCGCTTATTGATGACACAGATGCTGAAGATGATGCTCCCACAAAACGTCACTCTACTCCACCTCCCTCTCCCAATCAAAATAATAATGCTGTCGACAGTGGAATACATCTTACAATAGAACCGAACAAGTCAGCTACCTCTTCATCCCCAGGCAGTCCACTACATAGTCTGGAGACTTCACTCTGATTGTAAGATGAATGTCAACATTCTAGCTGATTTGAAAAGAGAACTGGGTCCTTTACACACATTGAAGCAGGCAGATGAGAGTGCCTGCTCCTTGGACTTCAAACGAAGACTCACTTGTATGAATGTAGATTTATTTTTTTAAGAAAAAAATGCTTTCTGCCAGACTTGAGGGTGCTTTTCTTGGGAAGGAAAAGGGATGGGATAATTGGGATGAACTCTTTGACAAGATACTTTGTAACCCAGCAAAAGCAACCTGCAGAGCATCAGTTACACTAAATGATGATTGGCCTGGACAGTGTGTTAGGAACATTCTAGTTTATATTGATCCACATTATTATTATTTTTTGGGGGCCCGGGGTTGTTCATTTGATTATTTATGTTATAAATGATACAGATCTGTTTACAAGGTTTATAGATATTTTCTCCTGTTCATAGAAGGGAAGTTTCCTTATTTGCGATGAAAGACAAAATGTCCTTTAAACACTGCTGTATTTTCAAGAAAAAAGGGGTGTTTCTATTGAAATTGTTTGAAAAACTTTGCCTGCAATTTATTTGCTCAATATTGTAGATAAATGAACCAATAGCCAAATACAAATAGAAAAAAGAAAAAACACTAATGCTTCAGGCAAGATAAAAGCAGCAGTGTTCTAATTAAAATGATGGCCTCTGTCCTTAGTTTCTTTGAGAGTAAAAAATAAAAAGAAAGCTCACATTTACTACTTAATGGTTTTCACATGATTTTTTTTTTTCATGTTGAAGAAATGATAAAGAACTTTTTGTTCCAAAGTTCCAAACAGAATTTTGTGAAATGCAGGGCATCGATGTGTGACGGATCTTGCTTGAAATCCTTTTGCTATCTCCGTCAAAATATATAAAATCAAAATACATCAAAACTTTAGTCTTCTTAATTTTCTTTTTTTTTGTTTGTCTAAACATGTTAGTTTTAGCTCTGTCTTGGTGAACTGTGAGTGGAACCGTGTTGATTTTCTAATCTTTAGATGACCTTCATACAGCATGAGGGCCTGTTGGCATTTTGGAAAAAAAAAAAACAAACACAAAGTTACTACTAGAAAGTAGTACAGTCATACATGTTTTCCTTTTTGTTTTTTGGAACTTGTTTGTAAACACAATAAACATGCCCTTTTACTAAATACAAATGCAGCAATGTTTTCTTGCAGATGTTGCCGCTGTGTGTTTCAGTGGCTGTGCATGTTTCAGGATAACATCAATGATGTGTTTTGAAATATGTATATAATTGGTAGTTACTGAATTCAGCCAAATCTGCTGACAATCTACCCATATAGCAGTCAAAAAAAAAATTGAGAAGAGCTTAAAGGGATAGTACACTTCATACTAATATTTTACCTTTGGGTAGAGGTGGATGGGCTGAATTATTCGCTTGCTTTTTATCTCTTAGAAGATTCACTCTGGATTTGCTCTTCGCCCCTTACGTCAGCAATGCATGCAGCACAAGTTGTTTCAGTATTTTGCTGCGTTGGGTACATGAAACATGCTTATATGTGTAGTGAACAAACTAAGCAGAGCCAATGCCTCCTATATTTTTTTATTGTATAGAATAGGCCAGCGGACAAAGACCCAAAACCGAAATATAACGTCTGAGATTGTGTTTTCCTACATAAATGTGCTAGTGCCATCTGTTTAGACATGTGTCTTTAACAGGTATACCAATTTGATATTCTAGAAAAGGACATTTATTGTAATTATTGGTTTAGCATAATTCATGCTCTCCGTTACAACAACCGGAAGTAAACCTGCTTGTCTTTGTATGTACACTAAAAACCTGATGAAAATATACATGCATGCATGCATACATACAAACTTACTTACATACTCCACATGGACCACACATGATGACTGCACATAATGAATTCTCTAGTCACAAGCTGTTTGAACAGAGACCATATAAAGAATATGTCCACATTCCAAAACCTTGATACAGTACTAAAATATACATGTGTACTGTTTTTTGCCTAACAAATAGTTGAGTGTTCCAAGCACAACTAAACAATTTCACGTAATACCTTTATAATAGCTAGGTGGAAATTGTGCATGCATGCTTGCCTACAAAACCATCTTTCCTGTGGCTTTATGAAACACCCAACATTTAGCAGCAACCCCTATTAGTTGTTCGCTGAGCTTATGCAGTTGCCTTAGTCAGAGAGGAGTAATGTGTTCCCTTTTATAGGAAGTAATCTGCAGCAACTAGTTTCATTTTTAAACAAGATCCAAATGTGCAAGCCAAGGGCTAGAGTGGTTTTTGTAGGCGCACTACAAAGCCTTCAAAACTATATTTAAAACATTTAAATCTTTATTGAAGCCATAAAAGACAGACTTAAAAAAATGTGTCTCCATTGCTAGTGTACATATTGAACAATACAAATTCCTCACATGTTACCGTGCGCATTTTATACGTTGATTAGGATGGCCACTCCAGAGATAACTATCTAATGGTGACTAAATTCCTCAATGCGTTTTGCTGATGGCAGCTTCCTCAGGAGGATATAACTTGTAATCCAGCAGAGTCGGGTGGAGGAGAGTAGCACACCCGGTCATCAGCTCCCCTCCAGGGGGGCCACATGAGGAGCAACAGCAGCACAGGGGCATTGCTGTGAAACAGTACCTATAGCTTAATTCACAGTGTAAATTAACCTCTCCCTTAACCTATCCTGAGGAAGCTGGCATCAGCAAAACACATTGAATTTACAGCCACCATTACATTGTTCTCTGGAGTGGCCATCATAATGAACTTGTATGCACATTGTAACACATAAGGAATTTGTATTCAATGTGTATTTAGTCTGTCTTTTTATGGTTCCAATAAAGATTTAAATGAAGTTTTGAAGGCTTTATAGTGTGCCTAAAAAAACAAATCCCACTCTAGCCCTTGGCTTGCTCATTTGGTTCTTGTTCATTTGATATGGGGTGTGGCACCTGGGTCTTCCTCTGTTGAACACCTTGTGTGTATTTAATACTTTCATTTTTAGACCCAAAACTATACCTTCTGCTTTCTTTGCAGCCTTATCTAAAAACATGTGGATGACTGTCAAGCCAGTGTTTCATGTTTTTTTTTTATTTTGCACTGCCACGTTAGATTCTATGTGTTGGGGGTGCTCAAAGACTGCACAATAAAGAGCAGACACACTGCCGACAAAGGCTTAGGGAGGCAGAGGGAGGAGACTAAAGTCACTGAATAGTGAACATATGGCTTGAAAGTGGACCTCACTAAAACTTGCACTTCACATAAATTGTTGGGTTGATGTCAATAGGACCAAGTAACATTAAAAAAAAAGCTTGCTGGGGGGGGGGGGGGGGGGGTGTCTT